AGCCTGGCTACACCTGGCATCTCCCATACATACTGTGGCCTGGCTGCACCCTGTGGCATCTCCCATCTGTACTGAGGCCTGGCTGCACCTGTCTCCCCATACGTACTGTAGGCCTGGCTACCTGGCATCTTATGCATTACTGTAGGCCTGGCTACACCTGGCATCTCCCATATGTACTGTAGGCCTGGCTACACTAGCATCTCCCACATACTGCAGGCCTGGCTACACCTGTCTCCCATACTGTAGGCCTGACTTCACCTGGCATCTCCCAACATACCCATCTCCCATACATACTGTAGGCCTGGACACCTGGCATCTCCCATACGTAGGCCTGGCTACCTGGCATCTCCATAAATATTGTAGGCCTGGCTGGCATCTCCCATACATACTGTAGGCTGGCTACACTTGGCATCTCCCACATACATACTGTACACTGTCTCACATACTGTAGGGCCTGGTTACACCTGTCTCCCATCACGATACTGTAGGCCTGTTTCACCTGGCATCTCCCATACATGCTGTAGGCCTGGCCACACCCTGGCATCTCCCATACATACTGTAGGCCTGGCTACACCTGGCATCTCTCCCATACACATGCACAGCAGGACTATTTACCTGGCATCTCCCATACATACTGTAGGCCTGGCTACCTGTCTCCCAGCACATGCTGTGAGCCTGGCTGCATCTCCCATACATACTTTGTAAGCCTGGCTACACCTGGCATCTCCACATACATACTGTAGGCCTGGCTACACCCACCATCTCCCATGCATTACTGTGAGCTGACTACACCTGGCATCTCCCCATCGTGCTGTAGGCCTGACTACACCTGGCATCTCCCCATACATACTGTACACCTGTACACCTGGCATCTCCCATACATACTGTAGGCCTGGCTACTGTCTCCCCATACTGTGAGCTGGCTACACCTGGCATCTTATGCACAGGCTGGCTACACCCAGCATCTCCCATACATACTGTAGGCCTGGCTACACCTGGCATCTCCCATGCATACTGTAGGCCTGGCTACACCTGGCATCTCCATACATACTGTAGGCCTGGCTACACCTGGCATCTCCCATGCATTACTGTGGGCCTGGCTGCACCTGGCATCTCCCATACATACTGTAGGCCTGGCTACACCTGGCATCTCTCATACATACTGCGGGCCTGACACCTGGAATCTCCCATACATACTGTAGGCCTGGCAGCTACCTGGCATCTCCCATACATACTGTAGGCCTGGCTACACCTGGCATCTCCATATGTACTGTGAGCCTGGCTACATCTCTGCCTGTGAGCCTGACTACACCTGTCTCCCCTTACATACTGTAGGCCTGGCTACCTGACATCTCCCATACATGCCATGAGCCTGGCACACCTGTCTCCCATACATACTGTACACCTGGCATCTCATGCATGCTGGCACACCTGGCATCTCCCATGCATGCACAGCACCTGGCATCTCCCATGCATACTGTGAGGCCTGACTACACCTGGCATCCTCACATACATACTGTAGGCCTGACTACACCTGGCATCATATACTGTACACCTGGCATCTCCCATACATGCTGTACTGTGCACCTGGCATCTCCCATGCATACTGTGAGCCTGTACACCTGACCTCTCCCATGCATGCACCTTGGGCCTGGCTGCACCCCAATCTCCCATACATGCTGTACACCTGGCATCTCCCATACATACTGTACACCTGTCTCATACACATGCACATGAGGCTTGGCCTGGCATCTCCCATACATACTGTGCCTGACTACACATACTGTAGGCCTGACTACACCTGGCATCTCCCATACATTCTGTACACCTGGCATCTCCCTATACATACTGTACACACCTGGCATCTCCCATACATACTGTACACCGTACACCTGGCATCTCCCATACATACTGTACACCTGGCATCTCCCATACATACTGTACACCTGGCATCTCATACATACTGTACACCTGGCATACATACTGTACACCTGGCATCTCCCATACATACTGTACACCTGGCATCTCCCATACATACTGTACACCTCGCATCTCCCATACATACTGTACACCTGGCATCTCCCATACATACTGTACACCTGGCATCTCCCATACATACTGTACACCTGGCATCTCCCATACATACTGTACACCTGGCATCTCCCATACATACTGTACACCTGGCATCTCCCATACATACTGTACACCTGGCATCTCCCATACATACTGTACACCTGGCATCTCCCATACATACTGTACACCTGGCATCTCCCATACATACTGTACACCTGGCATCTCCCATACATACTGTACACCTGGCATCTCCCATACATACTGTACACCTGGCTACACCTGGCAACGGGAGCGGGTAAGGGAAGTGGAGTGACTGCTAGTTAGTGCATCCTCTGCAGTTTTAACTTTCCTCGCTCCTTGCTATGTTTCACTGGATTTACTTTTATTATACATAGTGGTTACTGATAGAATAATGTTTAACAGTAATTAATCATGTCATTGTAGCTAGGTTAGCTCATCATTGTAACCACCAGGCTACTGGGCCAAGCTGTCAGGTGTTATGTTTTTTTCAACTTGTATTTTTGGGTAGATGTACGTAACTTTCTTAATTTATTTTTATTCATTTACATGCACACACCATCCTACATATATAGTATTGTGAAAAAGAATACAGTATTACACCACAATTACCAATATCCTTCATGTTGGGTTTGGCTAGATGGCTACAAAAGAAATTCTGTAAGTTTGATCTACGTATCAACCCAGCTGGCGCTGGAGCTGTATGGTAACTCGACCAACTCGACTGTAACAACAAAGCACGAAGTTGACTTGAGCGTAGACTCCCATTTTTTCTACATTACATTTTGTTGTCTGTTTCTTAAGGTACTGTATTTGTGAGAGGATTTCCCCATTATTACTGTATTTATTTGTATGCATTTTAATAATAATAATAATAATAATAATAATAATATTAATATTAATATTAATAATAATAATACCTGTAATAATAATTAATGGTTTATTGAAAGAGCATGGCAGCCGGAATGCTGAATATATACAGTTACATAATTAGGGAATGGGTCTCTTGAGTGACAAATAACTTAGGTGATACAAATATGATATACAATAAGATTTATCACTAAGTGGGAAGATGGTTATACTACAGGGCATTTGAACACAGTGACAGTGCAAAAAGGTTGATTACGAGTTGTTAATTTTTATAATGGTTGGGACTGGGCTGTTCTTATAGCATGTGTGTGTACTCACTCACACACTTCAGCCTTCATAGGGTGAGGACGTCGGCGCTGCCCGCTGACGCGGCCATGGGGTCTTGACCATGGAGACAGCTGCCAGCCTGGTTTGTTGGGCTTTCCCTTCCCTCATTTCCTCCTCCCCAACAGTACAGTGTAAAGATTGACAATCAACCCACAAGTGATATACAAAAGTGACAATTTCAACTCGAAAGGAAGAAAACTGTTAATGACAATCAGTGCTTAGCGGTCAGTGTTGACCTGAAGAGGACCACACACCCAGTCCGCGGTACACTCACCACCACCACCACTGGATGAAGAGCCATGAAAGACTCCACACTACATCAGGAGAGAAATGAGGACTCCCTACTCCACCCAAGTGAGGAACTATGAATTCCTTACATCACATGAGGAACAAGAACCATCTCCAACACCCTGTGTGAGCTGAAGGACCTACCCGGTCCACACGGTGGATCTGCAGCTGTAGTGAGGTAGCGGGTTAGCACCCAGGTACGACAACGGCCATCCAGACAGTGGGCGCCAACATCAGGTCACAAAAATGTTTACAAGACCAGCTCCCACAGTACCAGATCTATAGTTAATCTATATGTTGAAACTTTGTTTCTTTAATTTTTGTATTGAAAGCTTTTCTCAATCAAGTGACCCCTTCCCCACTTCCACCATATGTAACCTATCACCTCTGTTCATTGTATATTTTCAGCCTTCGGGCTGCCATGATATCTCAATAAACAGTTAATTATTGTGATTAATTACACAATACAGGTAAAAGAAATAGTTGTCCAAAGAACAAACACAAGGTATGAAAGTAAATTTATCAAGTGACAATGTAATCAACAAAGATAAATTAGTTTATTGGTTACTTTCAGGTTCAAATTTACTGGCTAAAAAAACAAGATGGAAGAAAGGTGCTGATATAGAGAGATGAAAGAAACCAAAAGCCATTTCCTACTTGAAAAGTTTTCCCTGGTGGAAGTTCTGGAAAAACATCCTGAAACTAAACCAATAATCTAAATCGTGCTGAAATAATCAGGACTGGAAGGCAATCAATATTCAAATCCCATTATCTGTCAACAAATGAACCACAAACAACTTGGATTTGAACAGCACAGAAGACAGAATGGTGGACTGATCTCTATACTCCACTTTATAAACATGCTTGGAAAGATGTCCACCTCATCAGCAAATTAGCACAGAAATGGGACAGAGCCAAGGAGATGGATAGGAGGGCTGTGCTGACAATGAATTTTGGTGGATAACCAAAGCACATGAGGATCTTCCAATGGGTTTACCCATTGTTAAAGTGAAAACCCTTATTAAAGTAAATGAAAACCATAAACAAGTACACATCCTGTAACAGAATTTTCCTCAGTTTTCTCTTTAATCTGATAAGAAACAAAAATCATATTACTGTATTGATCACACGAGATGGTCTGACAGTAGTTAATCTTACTGAAGCTCCAATCGAGTGTACTG